AGCAATCAGCACCGCCCATGGACACCCTCAACGCCAACGATAAGGGTTTGGTTTATTTTTAATTGATTTCATTAATTTTTGATATTAATTGTTTAAATGTTTTGTTTAATATGTGGTTTTGTGAATTGCGTGTGCCTGTGTGCCAAATAAATGTGGAGGACGAATTGGGCCTCTGGTTACCTCAGTCACACGACGAAACACAACGCTGTGGTTGTTTCACGCCGGTATTTCTGTGAGGCCGTGGTATCACTCCGGTTTTGCGTAAGATCTCTTAGCATTTTTATATAAAGAGGTTGAGCAGTATCTAAGGTTAAAATATTGTTATCCAGTCTGCAAGTACATACCTCGCACAGAACCTTACATTCTTGGAAAAAGGCCAGGGGAGATAAAACTATCCTTATGGATATTGTTATGTGAAACGCTTTAAAGAACAATGTAGTTTGTCTTGTTTTTTATTACTCGTAAACTACTGAACACCATTTGATGATGTTGGTTTGTGTACACCGATAGATAAATTCATTAGATTAAGAATAGGTACGGATAGGCTGGCTCGACCGGAATGATAATACGGTCGCACAGAAAATCGGCGTGAAGCAACGCTTTTGTTGTGTTCCACCATGTGAGTGAGGTTACCATAGCCCCAATCCTAACCATCCAATCCCCAAATCTCCAACTGTTCTATCCCCCAATCTCCAATATCCAATGCCTATCCTCCATTCGGATCAGTGGGGGATAGGAGGATCAGTCTGATCCACAACATGTGATACAACGCATCTTCGTCTCTTCATCCAATAAAAATAGTTTTCGAAAATATTGGATTATCAAACAGTACCTAAATATGTACTTAAAAAGATTTCGGCGTCAGTTCACATAATGAACAATGTACTAACTAAAATATAATATGTATAGTTTAGCAATTCATACATTCCAGCTGTCTGATGAAGGCCAGGGTCGCGTAAATAAAACGATTGTATTGCTTCCATACCTCACCTTGGCACCGTACCTACTGCCATCTGGAAATCCACGTGCAACTCATTATAGTCATTTTCATAACTTCAGGACTGATATTCTCTGAAGTTGTTGTGGTAAGGAGTCCAAAACCTGACAATGTGACTTTTTCCGAGTTATATGTACTTTCTATGATTATTTAGACACCACTGACATACGGTGACGGTTATAATATCGTGAGGAAACCTGGACTTATAATTTCTAATTATAAGATTGAAATCGCCAACCCGAATTGAGCAAGCGTGGCGATTAATGCTCAAACCTTCTCCGTGTGAGAGGAGGCCTTTGCCATAGGGGGCACTTATAAGCTGATAATGATGATGATTCTCTGAAGGTAGTTATGACTAATGGTTGCTTGATTTTTGAGGCATAAAATCCGTACGGAAAGCTCGCCATCCACTAACCCACGCTTGCTTCTTATAGGTACCCTACATTTTACACCGGTTATGCTTCCTGCAGGCTTCATAAGCGATCTTAATCGACAAACTATTTGACAGAAAGTTTAATAAATACATCTTAGCTAAAATAAAAAAAATGTTCTAAATCCAAACATAATATAATTGATTTGTTTTTTTTTTATGTGATTGGTCGGCAAACAAGATGACGGCTTTTTTTTTTCTTTTTAAAAACTTTGCCCCACTCTAGGATTTTCTCCTGTGTCGTGGGTGCGTTTACAAACATACAATTTTACATACACATGACACCCAGACCCGGATTAATTGCTGCCCATGGGCACAAGTTACGAGTGCGTACCCGACTTTTTGGGGATTAGGGATTGGGGTAGGGTAAAGATTAGGCCTCCGGAAACCTTACTCACACGGCGAAACACAACGCTGTGGTTGTGTCACGCCGGTTTTCTGTGAGGCCGTGGTCACTCCGTTCGAGTCGACCCATTCGTGCCGAAGCATGGCTCTTCCACAATTACTTGTTAATTGCAGTTATAAGTAACAATATTCAGGGAATAACCAACACTCTTATGGTGTACACGTAGAGGCATTCTATACTCCATCTCATCACCATCATCAACAAACTTATGGTGCTGAACAATCGCCTTTTCTTACGCGGCAAAACTGTGAGCATCCGGGGTTGCGGGGTAAGCGCAATGAGGCACCGCGACATCGGCACAGAGCAGGAGAAGGAACAGGGGGGTTTTTAGTCACTAAGAGTCTGACACACACACACTCACAAAAAAAAAAAAAAAAAAAAGTCTACCACATTTAACAACAGAACAACGTTATTAATCCAAAGACAAACAAAAGATCTAAATTGAATGTTGACAGTATGTCAGTCATAATTCGTAGTTATAACTATTTTATTGTTAAAACTAATATTTCTGGACGATGGCAGCTTCAACTAATGTTTTATGAGCATTTGGCGTCATTACTGCTCAAGGGTAGGCTAAGAAACGGCTCATTCTAAGAGAGTAATGGTGAAGAACGAGGAACAATAAAACAATGGTATTCTTGAATGTCGTGGTGACCAAAAGATGGCGCTGTGTCATGCATGAGGTAGGAGGAACCGGACACAGAAACTGTAGTTCGAAACTGGTTGGAGAGTACTTATATGCCTTTTTTGTAACGGGACAAGTCCGCTGCAGCCTCCCGTAACAACTCAACTACAACTCCTGTAAGCCAGAGCAAATCTACATTAGACACTAAAATCGTCTAAATTGACTTCGTAGGTAATGAATAGATTTTTACTGACTAGAAATCACTCCGTTCCATCTTCTGCTCTGAGTCGGGACTAGGTATATCATGCACTTGCAACTCCGGCCGGGCATCGGGTATAGCAGGGTAGCATTCCAAGTGCGCTTCAAAGACTACAGAGTGGCCCAACAGGGCTGATGTTCAGCAGGGGTTGCGGATCAAGCGCAAAAGTGAACCAAAACTTCAGCCTGGACCAGGAGAAGGAAGGTTTTTATTCAATAAGACTCTAACACTCTGGCTGGCAAAAAGTCATTTGATGATTATCCCACTTAAAAAAGTGGGTTTCATCTATACTAATATTATAAAGACGTAAAATTTGTAAGTCTGTATGTTTGTAAGTTTGGATGTAGGGGGTTTTCTATCAAAATTTTTTCACTGATAGATAGATAGCTACAATGTTCCTGAGTGCTATAAAACATCACGCTACGACTTAATAAAGCCGAACAGTGTCAGTCTAAATGCTCAATTCAAAAATTTATACAAATTCTATCTCTATCAACGAACATATAAATGATTAAGAGCAGGCGTTATGGATAATCTGATTAAACGTTGCAACGTTATGCAATAGTGCAAGTGGAGCAGTATTGCCAAATCCCGCTGCATACATGTATGGTGCTGCATTCCTACGTGATGGCATTCGTATCGCATTATTTGCATCGATAACGCTTGCATCTGTTACTTGAGGCGATAGTTGGGAGCTTGGCTTATATTTATGCATGTGTATAATATACTAGCACTTGTTTTGATGTAAATACTTAGGTATATGGGTTTAATCTATACTAATATTATAAAGAGGTAAAATTTGTATGTTTGTAAGTTTGTATGTAGGGGTAATCTTTGGAACCGCTGGTCGGATTGCCAAAATTCTTTCACTCATAGATAGCTACAATGTTCCTGAGTGCTATAGGCTATAAAACATCACGCTACGATTAATTGGAGACGAGCACCGGATGAAACCGCGCAAAAATAATAATAATAGCTAGTTAAAAAAAATTAAAATTCTTTTTTTGACTTAGATCAAACACATGGTGTATGTTTATAATGCTCATACATTAAAAAAGTGTTTTTTTTTGCATTACAATAGAGGTCGAGGCTAAGCTTTCTTGTGTTGTGAATAGTTGTGGTAGAAGGACTGATTGAATAATAGCAAACGTTTAAACCTTACTGGTTTTTAATTGCTATTTTAAGATACTACTACGTTTTTTGATAAAAAAGACGTAGGTACCTACGTTGGTGCCGTTACAAAAATACAATTTCACATACACATGACACCTAGACCCGGAACAACAATTTATGGATCACACAAAGAGTTGTTCCGTGCGGGAATCCAACCTGCGACACGTTGCACGACAGCCAATTGCCCAGACACCGCAACAAGCCTACAGATAAACTAAATATGAACAAAGAAACTAATAGTTTCAGTTTTATGTATTTGCTAAACTTTACAGACACGTTGTAAGTATATATTTATATATAGAATTCGACAAAACATCTCATCGCGCATACTTGTAGGAAACAAAACAAAATAATAGGTATGCATGCATCTACATTATTTTGATAAACATGCATTTCTCCATGCACTCTTTGGAAAATATGCACGTCAGTTGGTTATTTTCGAACGCTTTTCTCACAATAACACAGTTATTATTGTAATGTGTACGGAAATAGATTTCTGAGCGTATTCATAATCATCAATATTTTTGGAAATTGTCAATAGATGTCGAAACAATGTATGCCTGGAGTCTTATATGGAGTTGGTGAGAGTGGACTAATAATAAATAGAATATTTCTCTCGTGTGTTAGATGTTACGTAAATATAGATAACTAACATTGAACAAGAATTCACTGAAAATAACTACATATTCACGTGAAATAATTGAGAAAAGCTCGACTAGTTTCAAGTCAAAACGGGACTCTTATTCATCAGCAGCATAATTTAGTTTCATCATTTAATTTTGTTACCTTGGAATTTGTTTAGCCCAACGGTGCCCATAATGATCTCAAAGCCTATAAAGCACACATAACAACTAATGTAACATTCTGTATATTTTTTATTTGTTAGAGTTAACTTTTTTAATTATTCCCCTTCCTCCTTCGATCGTCATTTTTATTTTCAGTTCGTAATATTCGTTCTTGAATTGTAGATAGTAATTTATCTGACTAATGAATAACCAGCCCTAAATCAGTTTGTTTACATACGATTATCTGTCCAAAAATTTGGAAACAGTATTTCGTAAATTTGATAACCGCAAGACCAGTCGCAAAAAAGAGAAAAAAAGTACTCACATCATCATCAAAAGGAGGTTCACCATCAAAGTTCTGGATGATGCCATCAGCGAAACCAGTGATGTTGTTCAGGAATGTCTTCAAATCGTCACCAGCTCGGGAAGCGAAGTCCGTATACAGAAGGAGAGCTTCTTCCTTTGCCGATTCTAATTGTGCCAATATGCTGTGACAATCGTCTAGTGCTGCTATTTTCGCATGGGTCCCTGAGGTCCCGTGGCTCCTATGGGCCACATGGGAGATTTGATTCGGGATTGTCCGGTTGGAGACATCTACTATCACCACTGCATCCTGAAAAATTAAGAGGATTTTGTTTTAGAGGCTTCGGAAGTAGAAGGTCTATTTGATTTCTTTGTTATCTTTCTAGTGTCTGTCTCATTCGTCTAAAGTGGCACATTGTACTTTTTTTATGGTGTAAGTCGGCAAACCAGCAGACGGATCACCTGATGGTAAGCAATTGGCTCCGCCCATGGACACCCGCAACACCAAAGAAGTTACGAGTGCGTTGCCGGCCTTTTGGGGATAGGGGTTGCAGAAATAGGGATCGGGAAAGGATAGGGGAAGGGTGCGGGATTGGGCCTCCGGTAACCTCACTCACACGGCGAAACAACGCTGTGGTTGTTTCACGCCGCTATTTTGTGAGGCCGTGGTATCACTCCGGTCGAGCCGACCCATTCGTGCCGAAGCTTGGCTCTCCCACACTTGTACTACCAATCAATGCTTCTTGAGGCTTTTCCAGGACGAAGGTGCATTCACTAGTTCATATAGAAGAAAAGTATTTCTGATGTTTTATAGACCAAAGTTCTAAGACATTATATCTAAAAATAAAAGTAATAAAGTTATGTAGTGTTGCGAAAAATGTTTCTTTGGCATCCGCGAAATTTTTGCGTTAATACGTTAACGACTTTTTATTACGATTATGTTTGATAACTCGGGTTTATTATTAAAATTGTTGGTCGTCTGCAGTTTTGTTCGTGCGGTCAATGTGAGAAATGTGGCTTTTCTACTCCCCAGGTTACCATTGTCCGACATGGCGTTCTAAGTATTAAGCTAGGTATTTCAGTGCTGGTGTTCCTACGTAGTGCCCCGGAGGTTAAGGCGCCCGATTCTCATACACGAGGGTGCGGTTTCGAAACCTGGCAAGTAACAATGTGACTGTCTCCGAGCCATATGTACTTTCTAAGATTATTTAGACACCACTGACAAACGGTGAAGGAAAACATCGTGAGGAAACCTGGACTTATAAGTTTGAAATTGCCAATCCGCCGTAAGCAAGCGTGGTGATTAATGCTCAAACCTTCTCCGGGTGAGAAGAGGCCTTTGTTCAGCAGTGGGCACTTATAAGCTGATGATGATGATGATGTTCCTACGTGTCAATTAAGTTTGTGAACAGGTACCGTCAATCAAAAGGGATGGACCTCTGGGTTTGTTTAGGCATTTCTACTCGGAGTAGTCAGATACGAAAAACCAGCTTCATCTACTTTTTTACACATAATTTTGACGTATAAAAGGGCTGTTTTATGTCCTATTTACAAAAAAAAATTCATTGTTTCATTGTTACAATTAGGACTGGTTAACCTAGACCCGACAACAATTTGTGGAAGACATTTCGAATTGATTCATGTGAGAATCGAACCCGCGACACATTGCACGGCAACCGGTTGCCCAGCCACTTTAGCAAATACTCCTTTTTGAATTCGCTATAGTCGAAACAAAACAGGGCAATAACCCTTTTCAAAAATTAATACATATGTAGCCAAAATTAACCTCGGTACGTCGCTACAAAACCTAAGACCACCATTAAAAAAACTTATGGCAACATTATAGTGATGACGTCACAAAGGAAAACCGTTAAACAAACTATTTGTATTTACAGTCAGAATTTCATGAAATTACGTCAAACATATATATTTTCATGCCAATTTTCTTACCCATAATACTGTTATAATGATGAGTTCATTTGACTGAATATTTTCAGTTTTTGTTTGAGTAATAAAGGTTATAAGTTCAATGACTTTTTTACGGCATAGACAAAACTAAGCAGGCGGATTATCTGATGGTAAGCAATTAGCGCTGCCGCCGCACCAAGGCCTTTTGACTCCTGCAACTCCAAAAGAGGCAGAAGCTTTATTTCACGTGACATATAAACAAATAATCAAAGCTTTTATATTTATTATAAAACTAGCTACTCTCGCGTGGTTTCACTTGCTGCTTTGATAGTAGTCTGATGTTTTACAGCACTAAGGAACACAGATGCTTATGAAAGGATTATGTTAATCCGGCCACCTGTCCCAAAGATTACAAATACAAACTAACAAATTTCAAATTTTACCTCTTCATAAGAAACTACTGGATCGATTTGCACAATAAAATTCTTTCATCTTTTACAACTTATTTCGTATAATTAAAATAATATTTTATAAAACGGATGGTTTGTTGGTAAAATTACTGGAAAGCTGCCTGCTGTACCTACATCATATCATGATTTTGATTTCTAAATAAAATCGCACTTATATAGATAAAATATTATTAGATAGTTATCAATTTTAACTGCAAAGATTGTGATTAACATTTAAAAAGTGATTAAATTTTAATTTAAGAAATGCTTTTAAATGTTTTATAACAGGAGATCAATCTATTGTCATATTTCAGACATAATTGTATAAATTAAGATCTTTCTAATTTAAACTATTAATATTTTGACCGACTGAACCGAAGCCAACTCCTTTATTTCATGATAAGATAAAATTGTTACATGTAAAAAAATCTAGGTCCATATTTAGCCAACGTTACTATTACTTATTTCAAATTATACATAATATTAGTATTTGCCCGCAACTTTGTTCGCGTGAAAAACTATCCTATGTTGTACCAAATTTCACACAAATAGGTTCAGTAGTTTAGGCGTGAAGAAAAAGACAGACAGACAGATACTTTCGCGTTTATAATATTAGTTTGGATGAAAAGTGTTATATGTCTAGAGATTACATAGGAAGATATTTACGATACATAATATGCCTTTAATATTTACTTACATATACTGAAAGGAATGCATTGAACTGAAATTCTTATCATACATACCTACTGAAACATGACTCAACCTCATTCAATTTTATTATGCTAAATATTGTTTTGACTAGTGCAAAATGATAAATGCATTTGTATCTGAAAAGAATTTTAAGTGATGACATTTTCAGTTGCAGGATAAATTTTTCGAAATGACTGCATGTTTGGCGCGGTGCGCGGTGGCTGGGCAATTGGCTGCCATGCAACGGGTTGCGAGTTCAATTCTCGCATGGAACAACTCTTTGTGTGATCCACCAATTTAGGGACAGAGAAAGCCACTTTGTTTTATACTATGTAGTGGGTAGAACTCAAAATAAACGGTCAACGTCGAAATATATTCTAAAAATAGTAATACCACAAACTTAACTGTTCCATAAAAAATGTTACGAAGCATTTATAACCCATTTATGTAATACTAGTTGGTCTATAAAACTTCTAAATTCAAGCCTTTCACGTCCCAAAAAACGCATGTCTCTGCTTATACCACAATTAATATAAACACGTGCACTGCTACACCGCTATCTACAGTCAGCATTGTGTGCCCTGTCTGTTTGTTTAGCGCCAAGGATTTATTAAGTAACGCACAACATGTACTTGATACCTTTTGACAAAAATCTTTATCTTTCTACTCGGTAAACGACGTTTATATAATAATGTTTTCTTTTCTTTTACTTCTAAGTGTGGGAGAGCTATGCTTCGGTACGAATATGTGATGCCAAGGCCTCACAGAACACCGACGTGAAACAACCACGGCGTTGTTTCGCCGTGTGAGTGAGGTTACCGGAGGCCCAATCCTTCTCCAACCCCTAAATCCCCAAAAGGTCGGCAACACACACTTAACTTTTCCGTTGTTGTGGGTGTCCATGGGCGGCGCTGATAGCTTACTATCAGGTAATCCGTGTGCTTGCTGCCACATAAAAAAAACTTGTGTGCCGTATTATTAAGTACTTAAATATATTACCTAAGAATTGAGTAATGTAATTGGTTTTGTACCGTACTACACAAATAAATAAATAAATCGTTTTAACTGTAGTTCTACTACCAGCCTTAATTGAATGTACGTTTTATTGAAAATAAATTAATTAATGATTTGGTAAGGAACTGTAAAACTTGGTACATTTGTCATTTCTTAGAGCTACTTAGTAGTAGCTCTAAGATTATATATAAGCTATAAGATTTCGTCAGCGTAGTCCGTAAGTAAAGGTTAAAAGGCGCCTATAACACTCAATAGTCTAAATATCTCCAGAAATACAAAATGTAACTGGCTAAAAAGGTTAACAAACTAATTATTCCTCCTTGGTACCCTTCTTCATTAAAAAGAGAAATCAATGTATTCCATCCATTTCAAAGTTAAAACGTCGTGGTGGACCGAAGGCTTAGGCTTCTTTAGCATAAGGCAATGGGATCAAAATCTGGCCAGTTCCTTAGTGACTTATCCGAGTTATACGAGTATGTACTTTCTAAGTTCATTAAGACACCACAGACATACGGTGAAGGCAAATATCGGAAGGAAACCTGGATTTTACCTTCTCCGTGTAAGAAGAGACCTTTGCTCAGCAATGGGCACTTATAGGCTCATGATGAGAATTATATGTTTTTAAAGTCGTATATCTTGTGTTTTTTTACATATTTACATAATGTATACACATCTAACATCAGTAGTGACGGACTGATCAAATCCTAGATCACAGACAGACCACAAATTCAACAAAGGACTTGAAACTCTTAATCCACAGTTTCTATAATAAGCAACTATCCAATCAGTGTGCGCCCGTGACCCAAATACCTGAAATTACAGTAACATTTCAGAAGGAAACCTTATCTTGTGCATACAAAAGATAATGCAGCCTTGAACGTATGGTACAGCAAAGGGCTATACAACCTACGTAGCTACTTATAGGTTTTTGTTAACTAAAATTATTTATAGACTTTAAGAGAGATTATTTTTTTTTAAAAGAAGTCTGTGTTTGTTTTTTGAAAGTTATTTCCTTGTGGCCTTTAGCCATCGAAAACGTAAACAATATCGCTAAACGTAAATAATATCGGTGACAATATCGCGAATATACTTATTACTTAATTAATTAAAGTGCGAAAGTTTGTATGTGTGTGTGTGTGTGTGTGTGTTTTTGGAGGGAGGGAATTTTATTCCTACTTTTGCTAATTAAAAATTACACTGTTCCTTCTCCTGCTTTAGGCCGAGCCCGTAGTACTTTGTGGTGGCCTAA